TGTATATATATATATATATATATATATAAATTTGCCTGGCTTCAGATCCTCGTCTACGAAAAACATTAACATCTCTTTAAATGTAAAAATATAAGTTTCCATAGTCTACATATTTTTATATATTAATCTATTCTAGAGAGATCCTTATTATCATCTAATTTGTAGCTCTTTACATCCCAAAAAATATTATTCCTCCAAAAAAACATTTAATAGAGTTAAATATTAGTGTTTGAATTTGCAAAGAAATAAAAGAAAACTTTCTAATTAAAATAATAAAAAAAGAAAATAAACTATGAATGCTTTTTTTAGCCATGAAGAACAGCACATTGAATTAAATATAGTAACTTCAGGTCTGTTAAGAAACACATGAAAAATTAAGTGATGCTCAGAAGTATTAAAGACAGCAATCAGTTTTGTGTATAAACTAATATAACACTGTATGCTAACTATAACAGAAATAAATAAATAAATAATAAATAAATAAATAAATACACTTTTCTGACTATATATATATATATATGGCAATATATATAAACTAAGTTGTTGTCTAAGCTCTTCCTTCTTCTTCATAGAAGGATTACTTTGTTTATATTTTCTTTCTTCTTGATGACATAGAAAACTTCTTGGATTTCTTTAAATTCAAAGTAACATTTTATCTAGGAGAACCAAAAATGTCAATTTTATCCTTTGAACATAATCATTTGTAGACTATTCTAATGACATTGATAGAGTTTTTGTACAATCCTTTTTACAATGATTACTAAAATGATTTCTTAAACAATTAGCTGGTATTGATCAAGGTAAAACCAATGAGATGTCTCTATGATACACATGCAAAACTTAATGTTTATTAAATATATTGAGTCTATTTTCTTCACCAGCAAAGATAAGCCCACATGAATTTTAAACAGACTGAATGATCTCAGACAGACTCATTTGCAGCTGTACTCCATGACACAATATATGTTTGCTTTTACAGGTTCTTCAGCAACACAGTCTGCTCACATGGTTGTATATGCTAACATGAACTCCCTCTATTTGTTTGAAAGGAAGATCTTTCTGTTAGAAAAAGTAAAGGCACCTTAAGGCCAGGAAATACAGTACCATTTATAGGTGTGTGTGGTGGTGTGTGTGTGTGTGTGTGTGCCTGTTTGTGCATTAGAAGGGAGAAAGAAAGAGAGGAGAGCTGTGTGTATGAGTGTCTGAGAGAGAGTGAGTGTGAGAGTGTGTGTGTGTGTGTGAGAGAGAGAGAGAGAGAGAGAGAGAGGAACAGAGAAAGAAACAGACACAGAGAGATTTGTTGTGGAGTAGAAGGCATACCAGAATTTAATCAAAATGGTCTCTGATTTTCAAGACCTTAAAAATTAAGTAACTCGAATGCAGGGATCCGAAACATCAATATCTCTTATCTTAGATGATTGCAATAATTTGCTGCTTAAAAAATGTAGACCTATGTAATATTTTTTTTCCATTCAAAGAAAAGGCATATGTATTACATATTTTAGTAAGTAAGAATCATGTAAACATATCTAAATAATAATACATCTTCCATGTTGGTGATGATAAATATTTTCTTTAACATAAGATGATTTAAATTAACCTTCATATCCACATCTGGTAACTACTGCTGTAACCTTTGTATCTTTAGATAACACACATACAGAAATGTTAATTGATTTTTCTTTATAAATCTAACACCTTAGAGAAAATTTAAAATATAAGAATAGCATGATAAATTTAAATATTTATAGTATAAATATTCAGACATAGGCAATGCCACATTTTGGGCACATATCCTTTGATTTTTTCCCTCTGTGCATGTATTCTGTGTATGTATATACTTTTTACACAGTAGAATTAAACTTATGAATTTATTACATTTTGGAAGCCAGGTTTTCACTTGACACTATACCAACTTTTTTTTTCCATGAAGCACAACACATTGAATTAAATATAGTAATTTCAGGTCTGTTAAGAAACACATGAAAAATTAAGTGATGCTCAGAAGTATTAAATATTAAGCAATCAGTTTTGTGTATAAAACTAATATAACACTGTATGCTAACTATACTGGAAATAAATAAATAAATAATAAATAAATAAATAAATAAATAAGAATTTTCTGACTATATATATATATATGGCAATATATATAAACTAAGTTGCTGTCTAAGTTTTCCTTCTTCATAGAAGGATTACTTTGTTTATATTTTCTTTCTTCTTGACATGACATAGAAACTTCTGGATTTCTTTAAATTCAAAGTAACATTTTATCTAGGAGAACTAAAAAATGTCAATTTTATCCTTTTGAACATAATCATTTGTAGACTATTCTAAATGACATTGGCTGATAGAGTTTTTGTGATAACTTTTTTTACAATGACATAAAATGATTTCTTAAACAATTAGCTGGTATTATGATCAAGGTAAAACTAATGAGATGTTCTATGAAATAGATACACATGCAAAATTTAATGTTTATTAAATATATTGAGTCATTTACCTATTTTTCACCAGCAAAGATAAGCTCATTAAGGAATTTGAACAGACTGGAATGATCTCAGACAGACTCATTTGGCTAAAATTTCCATGACACAATATATGTTTGTTTTTACAGGTTCTTCAGCAACACAGTCTGCTCACATGGTTGTATATGCTACCTTTACACCCCTCTATTTGTTTGAAAGGAAGATCTTTTCGTTAGAAAAAGTGGTAAGCACTCAAGGCCAGGAAATACAGTACCATTTATAGTGTGTGTGTATGTGTGTGTGTGTGCCTGTTTGCATTAGAAGGGGGAGAAAGAAAGAGAGGGAGAGTGTGTGTGTATGAGTGTCTGAGAGAGAGTGAGTGTGTGAGAGTGTGTGTGTGTGTGTGTGTGTGAGAGAGAGAGAGAGAGAGAAAGAGAGAGAGGAACAGAGAAAGAAACAGACACAGAGAGATTTGTTTTGGTAGAAGGTATACCAGAATTTAATCAAAATTCTATTCCTGATTTTCAGTTTACTTATCTTTAAAATTAAGCACTCGAATGCAGGGACCTGAAACATTCACAGTTATCTTTATCTTAGATGATTGCAATAGTTTCATGTTTAAAAATGTAGACTCATGTATTATTTTTTTTCCATTCTAAGCAAAAGAAAAGGCATATGTATTACATATTTTAGTAAGAATCATGTAAACATATCTAAATAATAATTTATCTTTCCATAAGCAGATGATAAATATTTTCTTAACATAAGATGATTTAAATTAACTCATATCCACATCTGGTAAATCACTGCTGTAACCTCCTTGTATCTTTAGATAACACACATACAGAAATGTTAATTGATTTTTTCTTATAAATCTAACACCTTAGAGAAAATTTAGAAAATATACACAAAGGCGTATAAATTTAAATATTTATAGTATAAATATCTAGACATAGGCAATGCTAACATTTTGGCACATATCCTTTGATTTTTTTTCCCTCTGTGCATGTATTCTGTGTGTATATGTATATACTTTTTTTTACACAGTAGAATTAAACTTTATGAATTTATTACATTTTGGAAGCCAGGTTTTTCACTTGACACTATACCACTAACTTTTTTTCCATGATGTTAAATATTTGACAACATAATTATTAGTAATGGCATGGTCTGTATGGGTTTCTCATAATCTTTAAATACATATATTTAAGCAAATTTATACTGCTTTCACTCATTTCTCCCACCCCAGACCCTCTGCCTCTGACAACCCTACCAATCTGTCTCTGTTTCTATGAGCTTATTTGTTTGCTTTGTTTTAGATTCTGCATATGAGTGACCATACGGTATTTGTCTTTCTCTGTCTGACTTATTTCATTCAGCATAATGCCCTTGAGGTCTATTCCATGTTGTCACAAATGGAAAGATTTCATTCTCTTTTACGGCTGAGTAATATTCCATCATTCTGTTTTCTTTTTGTTGCGCTGATAGGGTGAGTTCCAGTGCCTTGTCTCTGAATTGACTGATCCTTTCTTCTGCTTTGTTTAGTCTGATGTTGAACCCCTCTAGTGTACTTTTCAGTTTAGTTATGGTGTTCTTCAGCTTTATGACTTCTCTTTGGTACTTTCTTATATTTTCCTTTGTGTGTGTGTGTGTGTGTGTGTGTGTGTGTGTGGTTGTGTGTGTGCAAGTTCTCACTGTGTTCATCCATTTTTCTCCCCTGTTCAGTGAGCATTTTTATGAGCATTACCTTGAGCTTTTTATGAGACAAATTACTTATCTCCATTTTATTAAGGTTTTTCTTTGAGTTTTTATCTTGTTTTCACTCTTCCTCTCTCTCTCTCTCTCTCTCTCTCTCTGTTTGGACACATATTCCTCTGTTCTTCATCTTGCTTGACTCTCTGTGTTGGTTTCTATACAGTAGATGAAACAACCGTCTTTCCCCCAGCTCTGTGTTGGTCCAGGCAGTCCATTATATTTTTAATAGCTCCCCATCAATGAGGAAGTGCTAAGACCTGTCAGTGTCCCTAAAGGGAGGATCTAAGCATTTATATTCAAACCTATAAGCAGCAGCTCTTGAAAGTATGCAAATATATACAGTCATAGGGCAAGAAAGTGGCCATGCTATCTTGAGATGTCCCCTGGTTGGCAGTCACAAAAAGTTGGAAGTTGGGGCCCCAAATGATCAAAAGACCCTTTTTTTGAGATATGGGTGAGCTGGAACAAAGCAGAGGGAGAGTGCCAAGATGGTGTTTGCAGCCTGCGTTCCTTGAGAGCAGCTCCATAGTCCACTAGGTATGTGCCAGACTTGAAGCCTGCCTCAGACAGAAGCTCCAGGACAAGCCAAGAGTCTTCCTTCACAGACAGACTGGGGGTGTGGCTCAATTTGCTGTCCGCACAGTGCACTGAGGGTGGCAGCCTGCCAAGGGCTGTCTCTCCAATTGCCACAGTCCTGTGGAACCCAGCAACGCAAGCTCCCCCTTGCTATGAGAGCCAGGCAATCCAGAGGCTTCCTTTGGGTAGCAGCTGCAAAAAACTGGAGGGCCAGACGTCAAAACCAGGGCACCGACCACATGTGAATCTCCTCTCCAGGAGACACAGTGACTCTGGAGGGCGGCAGAGGAAAAGCATAAAACCTAGTGCTTGCCCTCCGTGGTCTCTAGAAAGGATCACAGTCAGTCCCAAGATGTGTGTTTAATTACAAGTCTGCCCCTCAGGCTGCAGCCATGATGATTAGTTAATAGGCCTCCCCCATAGAAAGACTGAACTTCTGGGTCTGTTGCCTTTTGCTGTGCCCTGGGGGTGGTAGCTGTGATGACTCTTTCTCGATTGGTAACAGTCTGGTGGGACCCACAGGCGTAAGCTCCACTGGCTGCCGGAGCCTGGTGATTAGAGAGGGGTCTCCTAGCAGCAGCTGCAAATTCAGGGCACCAGATGAGAATATGAGCTCCTTTCTGGGTGTCACTGATAATTCTAGTTCCATGAGGACCAGGAATGCAAGTTCCTCTGGCCTCCAGAGCCAGGAAGTCAGGAGGCCTTCTCTGGGTAGCTGCTGCAAAGATCAGGCATCAGAAGCTTGTAGAAGCTCCCCTCCAGGAGGACTGGTGTTCTCAATCAGGGCAAAGGGAGAGTGTGAAGCTGGTTCCCCCCAGGCTCTGTTCTTGGAGAGTGTTCTAGCAGGCACCTACTGTGTGTGTTAAATAAGATGCTGGCCCCTCAGGACGAGGCTTTAATCTAAGCCAGTGAGCCTTTCACTTTAAGTCTGGGTGCAATCAGCTAGACATTTATTGGATATGAAAATCACTTTTCTCTTTGCCTTATAAAGGGTAAAGTCCACCAGCTTACTTGCTCTTCTCTCTGTTTAAAACAAACACAATACTGCATTTGGAGCTTATTAAATCTTAACCCTTTGGGGGACCCCTAGACATCTAGTACTTTAGTTCTAGAATTCTGTGTTCTGAAATCACTGCATTTAAAGTTGGAGAAGACTAGATGGTTTAGTAATATAATTATACATAAATGTTCATTGGGTTAGTTACAAACAGCTGGATATTAAAAATTCAATGAAAATTTGGTTGAAGTGTAAATAATCCAATTGGATGCTTATTGTGCTTTACTACACAGTATATTTGTCTTCTAGATGATTCGTCCAAGCAGCATCACTCTTTCGTTCTTTTTCTCTCTTTTTTCTTCCACCTCTTCTTCCTCCCCCTCCTTTTTCTCCTCCTTTTCCTCCTCCTTCTTTGTCCTTTTTGAATAGACACCATTTATCCACACAAAAATCTGCCGTTTAACAGGGGTAATATTGTCAAGATGACAGGGCATATAGTGGCAGTTTCTCTGATTTTAATTCAAAGTTAATTAACTTTACTCATTGCCTAAATCCAAGTGTGTTTCCTTGACCTCCCACAAATTTGAGTCTCTGATTAAGATTTGGGTGGGTCATCTATCTCAGCCCTGATTTTCTTTTAGCCTCTTTACATGGCATTGGCCTAGCTGCTGTCCTAAATATTCCAGAGATCAAATGCTCTAATACCATGGACTAAAAAATGACCTGAGCCATGCTTTGTGGACTGCCATGGTCTCACTATGGGAAGTACTTAAACTATTTTTAAAACTATAAAATACAAGAATGGGATGAATACATCACACATGCACACACACACACACACACACACACACACACACAAATCCTACAAAATAATCCATTTGAACTCTTGGCTGTCCCGCTGAGAAATTAATATTTAAGCACAAAGTTAGTTTCGAATTTAAAGGACAAAAAAGATCACCTATGTTTGTTGTTAATCCAACAGATTTTATTGATGATCTATTATGTGCTAAATAATAAGTTAGGTTTTGAAGACCTGTGCTGAGCAAGATTAACAAAACTCTCTCATCACAAAACTCAGAGCCTAATGAAGGAGACAGACACGCCAACAATAGTAATAAAGTTAGAAAACTGGTATAACAGAGATCATAAAAGGTATCTGGAATATGGTAGAAATATAGTGTTCAAACAATGTGTGTTTGATGCGTGACCAAATGAATGAATCAATGAGTGGAAGAATGAATATGGCACACATAGCAGAAACATGTTTCTGTTTAGTGGTTGACTGGGGAAGCCTTCCTAAAGGAAGAAGCGTTTAAGCGATGGCCTTAAAAAGTTCGCTTAATAAATAGGAAAAAAGTGTGCTCAAAGCAGAGGAGGACTTATGTTGGAAAGTCTGGAGGTGAAGGAGAGCTCTCTGGGTTCAGAGAAGTGCTAGAAGTTGAATAGATAGCAAGGGGAGAAGTCTCAGAGGCAGCTATAGACATGGGAGGGAGTCAGGACATACAGAGTATTATAAATCCTTCTTCTGAGGGATTGAAAATGGTTTAAGGGGTCCAGAGGTTCAGGAACTAACCCAATATCTGTAACAATAATTAAATGAACTGTTTCACCCATCCCCCTACCTACCTCCACTCTGGTGACCATCAGTTTGTTCTCTGTACTTAAGAGTCTATTTCTTGGGTGAAGTAAGTGATGGGGATTAAGGAGCACACTTGTGCTGAGCACTGGGTGAACTGTTAAATCACTATATTGTACACCTGAAACTAATATTAAAAAAATGAACTTCAAGGCTATGATGAACTGGTTATATAACCTCACTGTCTCCCTAACTTGCCTGCTGATTCTTTTACATTAGCTGATAGCCTGATCTTGTTCTCTTGGTCAAAATCAGAATAGAATGAGACACAATGTTTTAAAGATAAACCGACTAAAATAATTGTATTCTAATGGCACTTTGTTAAATGGAGTACACTGCTAAAAATTATAGCCCCAAAGACAATGAGACCAACATTTAAAATAAAGTCAATACTTTACATTTTTTGAAAGAATTGGTCTAGAATACAAGAAAAAGAAAACTTGGAAAGGAACAGGATGCCATGAATTACCCCACATTATTCCCCATCTTCCTGTTTTTGGATATTCTAAATTGTTTTAATTTTATTTAAATGTGCGATCTGCAAGTTCTAAGAAAGCTACCCACTTGCTCAAACTCCTACTTAGAATGTTTGAAGGGTGCCTGGCTGACTCCCTCGGTAGAGCATTTGACTCTTGGTCTTGGGATAATGAACTCCATCCAGCCCCACGCTGGGGGTAGAACTTACTTTAAAAAAATAAATAAATAGAAACAAGATGTTTGGAGTGGGAGGGGGCAGAGGAATGAACAAGCATTATGGGCAAGGAAGTTTCTAATTTAAGTCTACACATAAATTATTAAAAAATGTTTCTTAAGTCCTTACCTAAGGTTTCACCTGAGTGAATTTTTACTACTCCAAGTCTCTCTCTGCCTCAAACTCTAATCTAAGAAAATTTGAGATCCTTTAACAAAGTTTCTCAACGTCAACTATATAACTATTTTCAATAGCATTACTTACTTACATCATTCAGAAATTTTGGGAGGTGCAAAACAGGTGGGATTACTGTGAGATAAAACAGTTCATGGTGAATCCAGGGATTATGACTGTCACAATTAATTCATAATTGAAAGGAGATATGGTATGTATGTTGGAATTAAAATGAACTATGAGAAATCAGCTTACTTACTTTAAATCAAGCTAGTACTTTTGTGGATTATTCAAATAATACAATAGGTGTTTAACACCATATTTAATTGTTTGACACAAAACCTTACATTTTCAAATGCCTTAAATAATTTTATTTTCCGATGCTCTATGGCTTCAAAAAGAGTAAAGAATCTACACCTTTGGTTGCAGTTATAAGAAGAATTATAAGAGATATGTAGACCAAATTTGCTAAATGTTAAATAGTAAATTATTTGGAAATGATTCAATTTATAAATACTACTTCGGGCATGGCTTCGATTCTGGAGACAAAGTATAGTACTGTTCTTGGTTGCTACATGAAACGACATCAATAAATCATCCCATAAACCCCCATCTCGAGTGTTGGGAAACTTTCAAACTTGGCAGGGCAAAAGTTGTAGAAAAAAAGTTTAGTCTTTAGAATATTTCTGAAAAAAAACATTTTTAAACCACTCTAAGGCATAATACCAGAGGTTTCTGAATTGTTTTCAAGGAATCACTAACATTCACAAGAGCAATAAAGGGATGTTACAATTCTCTCTGCTTTTTATTAGGCCTCCCCCCGCCCACCGCTTAAACATTGAATCACTTTCCTCTTTATTTTGCACCTTTAAACACTTTTAAGTGGCTTTTCTGGACTCAATAGTGCACTGATTGTCTCCTTTCAATTATGAATTAATTGTTATAGTCATTAGTTAAGCCCTGGATTCCTGAAGAACTGTTTTATCTGACAGTGACCCCACCTGTTTTGCACTCCCAGAAGTGGCCATTGAGCTATAGAAAAACAGTGACAAAAGTAAGGCAGGTTCCGGCTGAGGCAATACTTTGCAATAGGCTAATAGGTGGGTTTCTGGTCCTAATTGAAATGACAGCTTTATAAATGTACATTTTCAAGCATTGCTTTTTGCATAGAAATCAATGATGCAAAGTCACTAGGAAGAAAAGTAGTTACTGGCAAAACTGACTTAAATGTAGTTATTTTATTTTACTTTAAATGTTTCAACATTTAGACTGTGAATGCCAGAATTTGGCGACAGAATATATTACTTTAACTTTCGCAGACTTTTGATTTCTTATGGCATATTTCAGCTATCAGTAACTGAAGTTCTGCTTAAATATGATACTGAATTGTGCCAAAGCAGCGTGGCTTCAGGATATCTGAACAGTCGAATATGGGAAGCATCGTCCCAGACAATGACTTGATTTAGCAGGATTTAGGGCAGCCTCTCTCCTCTGCCCTTCTGTGAAAGGCTCCATTGTCCGCAGAGATCATGGGGATTTCCTGTGGGAGAGCTTCTGTTGGAGGGTGAAGGCATGAGCCATAGACAAGGCACTGGCTTATCACCTCATGGACCTCACACACTACATGTAGTGGATTTTTTCCTTAAAACTATGTAGCCGTTCTGGTGACTAAACAAACAAATAAACGAACAGACACAACCTTCACATATTAAGCACTGTTATTAAAGGTTTAACCTAGGAATTTACCCAAGGGATACAGGAGTGCTGATGCATAGGGGCACTTGTATCCCAATGTTTATAGCAGCACTCTCAACAATAGCCAAATTATGGAAAGAGCCTAGGTGTCCATCAACTGATGAATGGATAAAGAAATTGTGGTTTATATATACAATGGAATACTAGTTGGCAATGAGAAAAAATGAAATATGGCCTTTGTAGCAACGTAGATGGAACTGGAGAGTGTGATGCTAAGTGAAATAAGTCAATATGTTATTGCCAGATATCATATGTTTTCACTCTATGTGATCCTGAGAAACTTAACAGAAGACCAAGGGAGGGAAGGGAAAAAAAGTTAGAGGAAGGCAACCATAAGAGACGCTTAAAAACTGAGAATAAACTGAAGGTTGATGGAGAGGTGGGAGGGGGGGGGTGGGTGGGTGATGGGCATTGAGGAGGGCACCTGTTGGAATAAGCACTGGGTGTTGTATGGAAACCAATTTGACAATAAATTTCATATTAAGAAAAAAAAAAAGCTTTAACTTAGAATAGTAATGGTTGATTAATGTTGGGTCAAACTGAGGTGCTGAGATTTTTTTTCAATCTCAGAACATCTTAAACTTTTAGAACTGAAGAGTGGCCAGTTCAAGCTCCCCAAGTCTCTCATTTGCAACTCTGCAGATAGGGTCTCTGGGGGAAAAAAAACATGATAAGAAATGCCAATGGTACTCACATTTATGTTAGGAGGTAGAAATATGGGTTATTGTTCCTTTATTACTACTTTCTTTTTTTTTTTTTTTAATTTATTTTTGGGACAGAGAGATGAACTGGGGAGGGGCAGAGAGAGAGGGTGACACAGAATCGAAATACCCAGGCTCCGGTGCCATCCTACTATGCTGGGCTCAACTCACGGACCGATCGACCTGGCTGAAGTCGGACGCTTAACCGACTGCGCCACCCAGGCGCCCCCTTTATTACTACTTTCTTGTGGTAACAGCATTTTCATAATGACAAAGTATTTTTTATGCATAAGGCAATTGCACATATCCTTTTAAATCTGCCTTCCACTCTTTAGGCTGATTCTGCCGAGAAGCTGAGAGAATATGGACTTTCCCATATCTGTAGCCATCCTGTGCTGGTGACTAGAACTAGGTCTTGCCCTCTCATAGCACCTCCAAAGCCACCTCCCATACCTGCCTGGAAAATCTTTCGTCAAAAAAAGGAAACTGTTGTAACAGATGAAGCTCAAGGTATGGGTCATGTTGTCTGGAAATCTTTCTGATTACCATTTCTCTATCTGTAGGTCTAACAGTTGAATTTGTAATAGAATACATCTATCAAGGCAAGCTACCCAAAATTATACCTAAAGCCTACTTTTAATTTTATATCTAAATGTTATGTCTTTAATTTTTTTAGTGTTATTTATTTTTGAGAGGGGGGAGTGAGAGATAGAGAGAGAAAGAGAGAGAGAGAGAGAGAGAGGATGAATGGGGGAGGGGCAGAGAGAGAGGGAGACACAGAATCCGAAGCAGGCTCCAGGCTCTGAGCTGTCAGCACAGAGCCCAACGCGGGACTCGAACTCACAAACTGTGAGATCATGACCTGAGCCAAAGTCAGACACTTAATCCGACTAAGCCACCCAGGTGCCCCTAAATTTTATGTTTTTAAAGGGTTAATTCTCCACATTTCAGAAGCTGAATAGTTTGGTTCACATCTAAACTGACAAGATATATCCAGGCCATTCTTTGGGTGAGAGTATTGTAATTATTGTGATAGAAAATGGTTTGTAGCAAATAATATTTAAAAACTTAGGTAACATATTTAAGCCCCTGGTGTGAAATCACTCTAGAGTGCCCTGTAGAACATAGTCTTTGAATTAACTGATTTAAATTTAGAATAGAAACTGACCCTTATTTAGAATATAGGGATATAACTTCATTCTTGGACTCCCCCTGTGTGAATACTGTCATAAGCCACCATGAATGGTAGTTGTGCTAGAAATAAAGAGGTTCATGTGGGCTCAGGGTGGGGTGGGGGACTGTGCTCACCTAGTTCTTTTTTTTTTAACTTTTTGATCATTTTTTGAGTTTATATATTTTGAGAGAGCATGAGTGGGGGAGGGGCAGAGAGAGAGGGAGGAAGAGAATACCAGGCAGGCTCTGCAGTGTTAGCACAAAGCCCTACAGGAGACACGATCTCGGAACCGAACTGTGAGATCATGATCTGATCCCAGATGAAGAGCTGGACATTTAAAAGGCAAAGCCGCCTCGGTGTCCTGCCCACCTTGTTCTTATTCTCAGTTTACTTCCAACTTCTTCGTAATCCAAATCTCAGTCTTTACTCCTTCAATGTTGTTCTCTCCAAGTCTTCATTCTGATTCCAGTATTTCATAAGTACCAAGTTTGAATGGCAAAAGAAATGAGTGAGAGCATTAAAAGAAACTCAATTCTAAAGCAGATGCATGAGATGGGATTAAAGGAGAACGAAAACTTATAATTTAAAAATTATGGCCTATAGGATGCCTGAGTGGCTCAGTTGGTTAAGGGTACAACTCTTGGTTTTGAAATATACATATATTTTTTGAAATATATATATATTTCAAATATATATATTTGAATATATATTCAAATATTTGAAATATATATATATATTTCTTATTCCAAAAAGCTTAAATTGTCTTTGTCCAAAAAAGCTTTCTTTAGTATGTCTTTTGTGTTTGTTTTCTTGATTTTGCACTTTCTCCCTTTGTCTTTGCTAATTGCTCATGATTTTCTAATCGTATTCATCCAGCCACAGTATACCACCTTCTAGAGGTTACTGCATTACAGGCTATGTTCACAGGCCCGTTACCTGAATGCGCAATGAAGGCAAAGCCACCTTGAACATACCTAGAGCCCGTTTACCAGTGGCCTCGCCGTGAAGCTTATAAGTATGCTCTAAGCGGGGCAGCTGGGTGGCTCAGTCGGTTAAGCACCTGACTTAGCTCAGGTCACGATCTCGCATTTCGTGGGCTCCAGTTGGCGTCGGCGTCAGCGTCAGGCTCTGTGCTGGCAGCTCGGAGCCTGGACCCTGCTTCGGATTCTGTGTCTCCCTTTCTCTACCCCTCAGCCACTCATGCTCTGTCTCTCTCTCTCTGTCTCTCTCTCTCAAAAATAAATAAACATTAAAACCCAAACAAACAGTATGCTCTAAGGGTTCGGTCCCGTGCACCAAGGCTTATACCCCTATTGGTGGCACCTGCTGTGGCTCCTGATACCAATGCAAGTGTTGCTGATTCCTCATGGCAGGGGACCAGGGAACCCTATCTTGGTCACAATGCAATACGGAAGTCTCCGTGGTGCTCAGGATTCTACAATTGCAATGGTCACATGGATTGAAAGACTTACCTGTTCCCTGCCTCCTACTTTCAACCATAATTTACATGTTTTTAGAATATAAATTAACAACTGTAACCATGTAATTTTCCTCGCCTTTGCTTCTTGCCTACATGATACAAGCAGTACAGCTGGTAGCAAAGATTTTCTAGCACAACACGCTCAGTCTTTGCCAGAAAAGAACAAAGACTAAAGAAATATCTGGTTTGGGTGGAAAGAAGAAAAGGTCAGGTTTGTTGTTGTTGTTTGTTTGTTTGTTTGTTTGTTTATCAAGCCTATCTGCCCCCTCTCTCTCTTGCTTGATTATTTCAGTCTTTTCTTTACTTTCTTGGAGCTTCTGCAGTTGACTCTTGGTGCCTGCCAGCTGCTGCATTGGGATACAGGAACTTTGCAATTTCCATTCTTTCCTCCCTCTCTCCCTCCCTCCATCCTTTCTATCCTCTTTCCTGTTCTCTGTCCTTCTGAACCAAAGATCAGCATGCACATGATGCTTGAGAGAAAATCTTTGCTCTAAAATGCATCAAAGAATAGCTGAATAAAGGGGAAAATATTGAACATGCAGGTGTTTTCTGCTTTTGATACTGACTGTGGTATAATTCTAGCTGCATGATGGCTTTAGGGTGAACTGGGGAAGAAAATCTAAAATTGGTAGGATCCCAACCAATGGTGTCCCACCTCAAGGCTCACCCCATAACTGTCTTTCTTCTATCTATTGGGTTTAATATTTAAGGTGAAAAATAATAGGAAATAGAAAGAGAGACAGCAAGACAGAGAGGGAGAGAGAGAGAGATCATTTGAGAGCTTACCATAGAATAAGCACAGAGAAGTTATGTGCACATTCAGAGTTTCTCTTATTTTTCTCCAGTGGGCATCCTTTCCATTGTAGCAGGAGTTTTATTAAACTAATCATCTCTAATGTTTAATTCCTGTGATCACCATGCTAGTGCTTGAGCTCTGTTCCGTATACACTGAGAATTTCTTTTTTTTAAATGTTTATTTATTGGGGCACCTGGGTGGCTCAGTTGGCTCAGGTCATGATCTCATGGTTTGTGAGTTCGAGCCCCGCGTTGGACTTTGTGCTGACAGCTCGGAGCCTGGAGCCTGCTTCGGATTCTGTGTCTTCTTCTCTCTTTGCCCCTCCCCCACTTGTGCTCTGTCACTCAAAAATAAATAAATGTAAAAAAAAAAAAATTAATGTTTCTTTATTGATTTTGACGGGGAGAGGGGGAGAGAATTCCAAGCAAGCCCAGTACTGTCAACACAGAGACCGATGCAGGGCTCAAACCCACAAACTGTGAGATCATGACCTGAGCCAAAATCGAGATTTGGAAGCTCAACCCACTGGGCCACACAGGTGCCCCTCCACTGAGAACTTCTTACTTCTATATTGGCTTCAGACTCCTTTAGGAGTATTCACAAAGTCTTTCTTGATCTAATGCTTTCTTTCCTTCCCATGACCTTGACTTTTTTTACATTTTTGGTTCTAGTACCATATCCAGATATTAGTCTGTATTTTTACTTCATATATGAGCATCTGTGTTGCAGAGGTTAACTAAAAGAACAGTTTTTAGTGAAAAACTTTTAAAGAAGTAGCAATGAATGTCCAGTAATAATAAGACAATGTTTCACATTGTAGGTTTGCTGGGTAGACAGTTAATCTCATCAGCACTGCAGTAGATGTTAAGTAATGCATTTAATTTTAGAAGATTAAAAAACAAAAGTGTATCATACTGAATCAATAATTATCTTTTAGATTCTTTTAGAATCTTCTAGATCTTATAGAACCAATGATAAAGAATCAATAATAGAGAATTTTTCTTTTAGAAACAATAATAAAGAAGCCCGAACAGTTTCTTGAAATTTCAAGTCCGTTTTTGAATTATAGGATGAATCCGTTTACAATTCCAACAGAAACGTAAGTATATCACATTCTTTCCCACAAATACATCTGGTTGACAAATGAAGTGTTTGTGAATTGTCTCACAACTGTGAGACAAATTGTCTGACAATTATGCTTTGGTGACAGTGATTGCAAGAAAACAATAATCTTAGATTCTTTTCCCCACAGTAATAAGTAGCTAAGATAAATTCTGAATCAATTAAAATAAAGCTTTAATATGTCTGGCTTTACAGCCTTGGCTACTGTTTTAGAACAGTGAAGGATTTTGTTGAACCTTAAACATTAGCACTAACAAATGCTTTTGGTTATTATCTGATACTTAAATTGTAAGATCAGATGATTGTCATAGAAACTAGGGAGATGAAGTATGTTACTTTTAGAGGAAGAAACCCTAACTAGAACAACAAAGAAAATAAAGAAGTAAAAGGAGGAGGAGAAATCCAAATATATTAATATTTGAATATGACAACGAAAGAAAGACTAACATCCTGGATCTAAAATTTCTAATGAGTTCAGATAAGGGAACAGGAAGTCAACAAATAGTAATAATGTGAAGAAATAGTGAGTGATATGAGTGGAAGTGATGATTATTACCACTCGAAGTGTGGTAATTTTTTAAGCAGCCATGCATAAGTAATAAATAGACATACGCATGTGTCAAAGATTACCAAATTTATACTCTGAATTTTGCAGATAATTGTACTTCAATTACCCACCAATGAAGTTGTAATACATAAAAATAAATAATAATATGTGAAAAGTTTTAAAAAAATTAAATAGGAATTCTAGGAATTCAATAATTCAAGGAATACGATAATAACCAAAACTAAGAATTCAATGGATGTATTTCATCAGAGATTAGATGCAACTAAAAAAGACAGTTAGCAAAAGGGAAAATAGATCAGAGATAATATCCAGACTGAAGCACAAAGACAAGAAAGGAAGGAAGGAAGAAAGAAAGAAAGAAAGAAAGAAAGAAAGAAAGAAAGGGAAATGTATAGTAAAAACAAATGGAACAAGTTGAAAAGGACCAACATACTTCCAAGTGGGTCTCAGAAATAGAGGATAGAGAGATGGGAGAATAGTCAAAAACTAAAAATATAATGGCAAAATATCCCAAAAGTAAGAAAAAAAAAAACCCTCAAGTCAAGATTCAGGAAGTTCTGAAATCCAGCAAGTAAACACAGAGAAAAGTGCAGCTGGACCCAATCCCAGTGAAACCGAAGACAAATCAGATACAGTGACCTGCAGACAGTGAAAGAAATGCTGCCTCACAAATCAACATGGATGAATGTCACACACACAAAATATTAGACCAAAGAAGCCTGGTGTAAAAAGTACATGGGTTGTTTTAAGGATTCTATTAACGTTCATTATGAGAAGAAAAATCAAAAGCAATCTATGGTGTTGGAAGTCAGGAGAATAGTTTTCTGTGGTGAGCAGGACTGGCCGTGGTTGGGAGACCTATCCGGCAGGACTCATGGGGCACTGGCAACAATAATGTCCCTTGATCAGCATAATGGTGATATGGCCGTGCTTGCTTTGAGATTTTCAGCAAGGTTTGCATTTATGATTTGCTCCTTGTTTGAATGTATTTTAAACTTAAATAAAACTTTAGTGAACATTTTGAATGGTTTATATTATCAGTCACACAGTGGCCATTAGACGTAGGTTAGCCTTCTTTGGACGTATTAAAATCCATGACTGGAACGTAAGCGGATGAAGTAAAGCAGTCAAAATTGAGATCAGAAGGCAGTTCGTTGTATGGTTTTACTTTCAGAGCCAGTCAATTTACATTTTATGAACTCTATAAGTTGAAAATGTTAGAGATATTCTTCCAATCGTTTCCTTTCAAGGCTCCTCTCAACTCTATGCATTAACAATTGAGCACTGAGAGGGGGTTAGGATGGACCCCTAGGCAGCCCTAACACAGGACAGTCATTGGCAGTCAGCAATGTCAAGCCTTGAAAGACAGCTCTATAAACCAAAAAGACAGTGTGCTGCTACTTTAATTTAAAAAATTTGTTAGTTACGAATTTATAAATCTAGTTTTAACTTTTAATAAAATTTTGTTATACATAAATCTATTAATTTCCACTAAAGTTTTAAATAAATTTAGTTTTCTGAATTTATTTATACATTAAATTTTTTTTTAAGTTTATTTATTTTGAGAGAGAGAGAAAGCAAGGGAGGGGCAGAGAGAGAGGGAGAGAGAGAGAATCCTCCACTTAGCTCGGAGCCTGATATGGGGCTTGAACTCACAAACTGTGAGATTATGATCTGAGCTGAAATCAAGAGTTGGATGCTTAACTGAGCCACCTAGGTGCCCCTATTTAAACATTTTAAATGGCATTTACAGTATCATTATATTTTGTTATCTCTTTAAGTACTTTAAAAGCCAAAAATCATAGCAAATAAAATCTTGCAAAGTATTTAAATCATTATAAAAGTTCAAATAACCAGGGCATCTGAGTAGCTCATTGGGTTAAGCATCCGACTTTGGCTTAGGTCATGATCTCACTGTTGGTGAGTTTGAGCCCCATGTTGGGCTCTGTGCTCACAGCTCAGAGCCTGGAGCCTGCTTCGGATTTGGTGTCTTCCTCTCTCTCTGCCCCTTCCCTGCTTGCACTCTGTCTCTCTCTCTAAAATAAATAAACATTATTATTTTTTTAAGGTCAAATAATCAAATTCACATATTTTGAGAAACTTAATTTTTCCTATACCTACCATTAGTTTTTCTAAACCCAAATTTTCTTATACCTTGTAACATAATCATAAAACTAAAATTAAATATGCTATATAGATTTTAAAGCCTAATTTGCTGCATTATGTAACATGCTAAATTCTTTCATATGCCAGAAATACAAAATAGCACATATACATAGAATTTTCCTAAACTTAACATAAAAATGTTAGTGCTTCATAATTTTTCTAATTAATTTCATACTTAATATTACCTACTAAGATGATGCTTTTTTCCACTTCAAATCCCTTTTTGCTGTCTCTCAATTGATTGAGGTTTCATACTAACCAGAGATTTTATGGATTTTGAGAGCTGCAGACCACCAGGAGAAATTTCCTCACAATTCAAAATGTCATTCCCAAATTTCTAGAATCTCTGTGCCAGTAGGCACCACATATGGGTTGGTTTCATAACCTGAACTCCCCGAGTTACTCCCTTACTCTATTTTCTTATATTTTCCTTCAGCTTTATTATCTGGTCAAGGTGGACGGAAGTCTACAAACCAAATCTAGGTGACTTTGGCACCTGATTAGATTCAACTAATCTATTCACTGTTTGACTCTGTTATGAATTTCCTGGCATATTTATTCAATCTGCCAGAGCCAAAAACAAAGATAAGTGAATGACATTTTATCGTACAAGAAAGAAATGTCCCTTGTCCAGCTTTGCTGTGCAGTCAGAGTTCTCAGGTCAATATGAGTGCAAGCCCTTTTTCGGCGAGCCCTTGAGAGCGACTGCGATCACAAGTGCCTTTCCCTGGAACACTACCTCTGTAGCAACATCCCAGAGTTGCCCATTCTTGGCTCCTGGCCAAGTGGAAGCCGCTCAGAGCCTCACAACAAATATGTCTGTGCTACCCTCTAGCGTCAGCTTCAGGTAAATCAGAGATGCTTAGCTTGTGAATTAAGAACTTTCACTAAACATTCGCAAAGAAAAAAAGAAGTTTAGGAAGACTGTATACATGAAATTTAATTTTATCGTTGACAAACACTTAAAGTAAAATATATGTGCTATAACAATGTCTTTTTATTGTGCCTATAAACTTCGAGGTATGACAATGGCGATTCAAGGTCTTATCAGTAATTACTTGAAAGGAAATCCTGTACCCTTGAGTAGCTAGTAAGAGTGCCACAGTTATAAACTGAAGTGCTCAAGACTCACAATTTCTTACTCTGAGCCCTATTTCACTGATACATTACTCTGATGCTGAGCTAAATCAAGTCTAAATGTAAAATTCCTTTGTTCTGATCATCAACATTTAAAGATGACCACCATAGTTTTAAAATAGTGCGTTGACTGATAGAGATACTTCTTGTACAGAAAGCAAGTCAAGGTTTTTAATATGAAATAAAAATTTGTTATTGGATGCAAATTGATGAGATGATGAAATGAACAAAATCAGAAATTTCTCTTGACTAAACTGCTGTTATTTAATATACAATGCAATGGCATTAAGCCATGAAAGAGAAGGGAATCTTACCATTTATGACAACATCCAACATGGATGGACCTTGAGGGCATTATGCTAAGTGAAATAAGGCAGTCAGAGAAAGATGAATACCGTATGATCTCACTTACATGTGGAATCTAAAAATTCAAAAACAAAAACAAACACCTAAGATACAGAGAACAGATTGGTGGTTGCCGGAGATAAGGGGTGGCTGACATGGGTAAGTGGGGGGGGGGGGTCAAAATGTACAAAGTTCCAGTTATAAAATAAATAAGTCATGAGATGTAATGTATAACATGATGACTATAGTTAACAATATGTATTGCATATTTGAAAGCTGCTAAGAGAGTAAATCTTAAGAGTTCTCATTACAAGAAAAAAATGATAACTATGTATGGTGATGGTTGTTAACTAGACATATGATCATTTTACAATACATATTAATGTAAAATCATCATGTCGTACACCTGAAACTAATATAATGTTATACAGCAATTATGCCTCAATAAAAAATGCAGTTATAACTTTAAGCAAGACATTAAGGTAACAGAGGTTGTTTTTTATCTTTTATTAGTCATTTTGTACAATATTTTATCAAGAAAGGGGTACCTCCAGGATCTGGTTTATCTTCCCTTACTGAAAATGATGAAACCATCACCTTTAGCCAGCCAGACTTAATTCAGTTGACAGGAACGGTATCTCAGGTAACTATGTTACTCTTATTATTGGCCCAATTCTTAATTATAAATGTTTTTTTCTTAAATTGTGAAATATGTTATACACCAAACAATGTATAACATGCATCTGAACAGAATAAAGAATACCACGAAAATAAGCTTTTTACATGTCTATCATCTAGATTAGAAAATGCCATATTCATAGCAGTCCCCTGCGTGTCTCTTCCAGGTTGCATCTCCTCTCTGCCATTCAGAGTTTGTCATTAACCAACCTCATACTCTTCTAATTTTTCCAATTATGTACACGTTTATAAACAATATAACCTTAGTTTAATTGCTATATAATTTTATCTGAATGGATTCATATTAATTCTTCTGGGACTCCTTTCACTTAACATCAATTCTGAGATTTGTCTCTTGCTGCGTGTCACAGTTCATTCAATTCATTTCACTGGTTGAAGGTATTTAATGGATAACCAACCTACTGTTTTGTTTTTTTTTTTTTATCTTTCACATTGTTGATGGTTATATTCACTGCTTCATGTTTCTTTTTTTTTAATTTTTAAGTGTTTTTATTTATTTTTGAGACAGAGAGACAGAGCATGAGCAGGGGAGGGTCAGAGAGAGAGGGAGACACAGAATCTGAAACAGGCTCCAGGCTCTGAGCTGTCAGCACAGGGCCCAACGTGGGGCTCGAACTCACAGACCGCGAGATCATGACCTGAGCTGAAGTCGGACGCTCAACCGACTGAGCCACCCAGGTGCCCCGCTTCATGTTTCTTACTATTGTAAGCAGTAATACCATGACTATTCTTTGCTGTCCCTGTATGCATGTGTAAGAGTTTCCTTAGTTCCAGGGTTTGTAATCTTTTATGGACAATGGGTCCCTTTGCCAATTTTTTTAAAAATTTAACACACAATGACAACAACTAATCTGTGTCTGCGTATTAGTTGACTATTGATGATAGGGAATAGCGGAAAGCAAAACAGCTGTGTGTGTTAGCACTGTGAGGACACACAACTTTGCTGTCTGGGGGTGGAATGACTGCTAAGTATAGTTGCCTGCTAAGTATAGTATGATTGGGCAGCTACAGGTCATGAGAGTATCCATAGAGAGTAAGATGTAGCCACTTGAAACCTGACAATGGGCCTCATAACCGTGTAATTTCAGAGTACTGATCAACACATGTGACATTTTAGGATATTTGCCATTCTTTTTTTTTTTTTTTTTTTTTTTTTTTTTTTGATATTTGCAATTCTAATGATACGTAGGGTACTGTGATTTCTTTTGTGTGTAAAGTCACAATTATTGTTAACAACATTGTGGCTACTCACCTGCATTGATAAATTGATAATGGAGGAAAATGCTGAACTTGGGTTAAAGATGAATTTTTTCAACCATCCTTGTTCACGGATTCCTGAAATCTTAACAATGAGTCCCAAAGGACACTAGGCTAGGAATCCCTGCTCCAGGATGTGAATCTGGCAGTATAATTGTTGGGTCATAGGGCATTTACCCATTTAACATCACAACAAAATGCCCAACAATTTTCCAATACAGGTGTATCAATATCCACTTCTGTCAGCTCTGGATAAGAATTTTCTTCACACCACATCCTGGCCAACACTTACAGTGTCTGATATTTCAACTTCTGCCAGTGTGGTGGGTGTAAAAAGGTAGTTGTTGTTTAAAAGGTAATATATTAACATGTTAAAAAATAAAAATATAAGGCATACATTAAGAAGTCTTGTTTCCATTCATGTACTTCTCCATTTTCACTGCTCTGCCCTCTGTAGGACACTTTCAGTGTTTCTTTGTGCAAATGCAAAGAAACACACAATAATCCATCACCTCCCCTTTTTCTGTTCAAAATTTAACAAACAAAAGAGTTTTAACTGAATATGTACAGGTGAAAATTTCATATCTATACCTAAAGAGTGTCTTTATTCTTAAAATTGCATAATATTTCATTATGTGAATGAATCACAGTTCATTTCTACCAACCTCTACAGATGGCATAAGATAACTTGTGGGGCAGGCCATTGCATAGAGGTAAACAATTTTTTTTAGTATTAGTTGAAAAGCAGACTAACAAATGAGAAATCTCATAAAGAGAATGAATAGATTTTTCACACTTTTAAAGTTTTTCTTTAAGTTTTAATCTATTCCATGCAGTATTTTTAAAAAGTCAAAAAGTACCCAAAACCTAAAAATAGCCAACCTGTTTTACTCCTCCTCATTCCTTAGTCTTTCTCTCCAGAGTCAATCACTTTTATTTTATTTGTGTTTTCTTCTGGTGTTTATCTCTACATTTCTTTTTTAAAACTAGTTTTATTTCTTTCTTTCTTGTTTTCTTGTTTTCTTTCTTTCTTTCTTTCTTTCTTTCTTTCTTTCTTTCTTTCTTTCTTTCTTTCTTTCTTTCTTTATTATTTTTTGAGAGACAGAGAGAGAGAGAGAGAGACAGAGAGAGAGAGCATGCATCAGGGGAGGGCCAGAGGGAGAGGGAGGGATACAATCTTAAGCAGACTGCATGCTCAGTGCAGAGCCCTACCCAGGGCTCTATCCCACAACTTAGAGATCATGACCTGAGCCAAAATCGAATTGGCCTCTCAGTGGACTGAGCCACCCAGATGCTCCTGTATCTCTACATTTCTAAATAGTAGGCCTTACGAAGGCAGAGACGATGATTTTATAATACACTGTTTTTCTTTCAGCACTAGTGAAAATTCCTAGCACATGGCAGACACCATTATGTGTTTATTGAATGATGGGATTTTGTTATTTCTTTATCTATCAAGTTAGATATTATCCCTTGTTGTGGAAGATAAGGATACAGTACTGTCTTCACTCACCATCACACACCTCTGCTTTCTTCTCTCTTCCAGGTTTTTTTTTTTTTTTTAATTTCAGAAGTCTTTATTGAATTGATATTATAGTTATTTAAGGATTATTACTGTGGAAGCAAATACAAAAACATTTCTTACATAGATTTTTGTACAAGCTAATTATGGTGTTTTTTCATTTGGTTACTTTTTTTTGTTTTCAAGTTTGTGTGTTTGTTTAGGGAGAGAGAGAATGAGTGTGCAGGAGCAGGGGAGTGACAGAGAGAGAGGGACAGAGAGAGAGAATCCCAACCAGCCTCTACACTGTCAGCATGGAGCCTGATGTGGGCCTGAGCCCATGAACCATAAGATTACGTCCTCAACCAAGTCAAGAGTCAGACACTTAACCGACTGAGCACCCCATCATTTGGTTACTTTTCTATGACACATTAGTAAACCTTCCCAAATAATGAATGGAAGAAAGAAAAGAGAGAAAGAAAGGAAGGAAGGAAGGAAGGAAGGAAGAAAAAAGAAAAGAAAGAAAAGAAAAGAAAAGAAAGGAAGGGAGAAAGCAAGGAGAGAGGAAGAAAGGAAGGAAAAGAAAATCCCTCTGAAGACTATTTGGCACACAAACACATTAGGTTTTCTTTAAGTGCCAGTTATGTTCCTGGAGACACCTCCCCACCCCAGAATCCTTTGCTTTCTTCCTACAGTTCAAATGAATGGAACCTTACACCCGTCATCTTGAGACTTCCTTTTGTCTCTATGTGATGGATTTCTTGTTTTCTGGAAACTATGTTTCTAGGTTAAAACCTAATTTTGGTGAATTGCATTTTCCAAAACTTCTGGGAAAAGATTTATGAGAATTGGAAATTATGAGAATTGATGTGCTTGCAGTTATCTATAATCCACCCTCCACCTGATTTATATTTTGGTGGGATATAGATTTTAGTTTAGAAATCATCCCTTTAGAATTTTGAAGTTCTTCCTTAATCCCTTGTATTCTACCTTTAAGCATTGGTTTTCTTTTTCTTTTTCTTTTTAACTTAACCGAATGTCCCCTCCCCCCGCCCACACACACAAAGAAGAATAGTTAACTATGTTAACTGTGTGAGGGGATGAATTTGTAAATTATGTTGATCTTAGTAGCATTCTAAAATGTATTTACAGAAATATAAACATTGCCCTTGAGAATACACATGACATTGGGATTCTTGATCATTTGTATGTGACTCTCTGCCATCTCAAAGACCATCTTTTCATTCTTGGAATAATTAAACTTTGCAGTGATTGGCCTTGGTATGAGTCTTTTTCATGAACTGTGCTGGGTACTCCATGAACCCATTCAACCTGGATAATTTCTCCTAATAGTGTTTCCTGGAGGATTTATTCAGTCTGGATGATTTTTCTTAATACTGTTTCTTGGAGAGTTCCTTCTTCTCAACACAATGTTAAGTACATTCACATTGCTGCGCAACCGATCTTCAGATCTTACTTCACATTACAAAACTAAAACTCTATACCCATTAAACAGTTTCTCATTCCCCCTTCTCTCGGTCCCTTAGAACCACCATCGTACTTTGTCTCTATGAATTTGACTACTCTAGGTGCCTTATATAAGGGGGGATCATACAGTATTTATATGCTTGTGACTGGCTTATGTCATTTAGTATAATGTTCCCACAATCCTTCCCATGTTGTAGCATGTGTCATTCATATGTGTGTGTGTATATATATGTAATAGTATATAATATGATGGAATAGTATATATACATATATATGTATATCACATTGTTTATTCATTAAGCCAACAATGGACACTGGGTGCATGATGCTAATATGACCATAGGTATACAAATATCTCCTTGAGACACTGCTTTCAATTCTGTTGGGTTTTTACCCAAACGAGGACTTGTTGAGTCACATATTAAATCAACTTTTATTTTTCAGGAGCTGCAATACTGTTTTTCATTTTATATTCTCACTAGGAGTGCACAAGACTTCCAGTTTCCTCACGTCCTCACCAACACCCATACCTGTTTATTTATTTATTTTTTATAACAGTAACTATCATAATGGGTATGAGGTTGAATCTCATTATACTTTTGATTTGCATTTCCCTAATGATTAGTGACGTTGAGTATCTTTTCATGTGCTTGTTGGTCATTTGTTTATCTTATTTGGGTAAATATCTACTTAAGTCCCTTGCCCATTTTTAAATTAATTCATTTGTTTTCTGTTGTTCTTTACAAAAGTTCTCTATATATTCTTGATGCTACCCTTTTCTTGGATGCATCATTTGCAGAATTTTTCTCCCATTCTGTAGGTTGCACTGTATCGATTATGTCCTTTGATGGACAGAATTTTTTTTTTTAATTTTTTTTTTCAACGTTTATTTATTTTTGGGACAGAGAGAGACAAAGCATGAATGGGGGAGGGGCAGAGAGAGAGGGAGACACTGAATCGGGAAACAGGCTCCAGGCTCTGAGCCATCAGCCCAGAGCCCGACGCGGGGCTCGAACTCACGGACCGCGAGATCGTGACCCGGCTGAAGTCGGACGCTTAACCGACTGCGCCACCCAGGCGCCCCCAGAATTTTTTTATTTTGATGTAGTATGTATTTTTACATTTGTTATTGTTGTGTACTATCACAACCAAGAAATCACTGCAAAATCCAATGTCATGAAGCTTTCCCCCTAGGTCTTCTTCTAAAAGATTTATAGCTTTAATCTCTTTGTCTTTTGTGTCTTTTGTGACTTTGTCATCCAAAACTTCTGTTGAATTTATTCTACTTTCTTATTTTCAGTTTCTAAGAGCTCTCATTCTTGATTGTATTATTTAAAAATTTTTTAAACATTTATTTATTTTTGAGAGACAGAGCACAAGTGGGGAGGGGCAGAGAGACAGAAGGAGACAGAATCCGAAGCAGGCTCCAGGCTCTGAGCCTGACGTGGGGCTCGAACTCACAAACCGTGAGATCATGACCTGAGCTGAAGTTGGAAGCTCAACCAACTGAGCCACCCAGGCTCCCCTCTTGATTGTATTTTTTGAGACATTTCTTATTTGATAGATGGATATTCTCTTATCTGTCTAATATTACCAATTTCAAAAATATATCCTATATAGTTGTTTCTGTTTTCTTTTAATCTTTCCACCCACACCCTTTAGTTTCTTTCTTTGATATAAGACTCCTTCCTTAATTGTCTGGTGATACTCTGCTGCATATACGTGTCTAAAGAATTTATGACATTAAAGAGCTGCTGATTGGAAGTGGCTTTACAGAATGGCTAGAGCTTGTCGGCTGGTAGGGTAATTAATTTAGGATAATTGGGGGTAAGTGAGGTTCATTTGGGACTGGGATTAGCTCCAGATGTAGATCTTGGGGTTTTCCCCTGGCTCTGGTCAGTTTCTCCACTTTAGACTCCTCTAATCTCCCTCCTGGGGTGGACTGGGTCAAAGGCGTTGGTATACACTGATCCATAAGTGTTATTGAACCAAGCAGCACAGAGGAGCTGAGAGTTCAAAGTTCAGCATGTGGACTTTCACTCAATTCCTCTCCTCTTTGTATAGTAGCTTCTCCTGTTTCCCAAGGTACCTGTGAACCCAGATCCGGAGATTTCTCATTTAATTTTTCCACATGAAGCCATTTCCAGAGTTCTGTTGAGGCAGAAGAAAGCTAGATGCTAATGTTGAAAGGATTTAGGGCAAAGTGGGGATTTGTTCTGTTCCTTATATAGACATTTAACCCTTTCCTGTGTTTTGATATGAGCCCATATCTCATTCTCTCTGTCTCAGATGCCTGCTAATTGTTTCAGGGGCCCTAAGGCATGGATGGACTTGCTTCTTGGATAAGGATAAGGATAAGGATAAAGATAAGAATAAGGATAAGGAAGGATAAGGATAAGGATAAGGATAAGGATATTATTGTTTTAATTTAACTTTTATTATAAGATTCCATTATTTAAGAAACTCACATATTCTTTGTTTTAATGTCACAAACTTAAACCCTCAGCCAATTATTTAATTAAATTCACATCTTTGAATTCTAAGGTTGAAAACAAAGTTTCTGCTTTGCCATGCTTTAGTAACTATTGCAGAAATCTGTTTCTTTAATATTTAAAGACAGTATTAACTCTTTTAAAGGCATTGGTGCTTTAGATAACTGACATGTTTTGTTGAATTTAAAAATGGTTTCTTAATGTGTCCCTTTCAATTCACAGGGAAACATTACTTCACAAGTCATACCTGGAAAAGGTAAATTCATAAACTTCTCATGACTTTGAAAAACATCAAAGCACAAAACAGCTCCTAACTTCCCCTTTTCCTGGCTCTCAGCAGCCTGTCTCCAGTGTCTCCTCTGATGCGTTGAGTCTAATCTACTCCGGGCTAGAAAACCCTGATAATCTCACTGGTTAAATTCACACTTAAAGTCAAAATAAAAGATGATCTGATTAAGGGCCCACGAGCACAGTTCATGTGTTCTAACGCAGGCATGTGATGATCAAAGTGCTGAAACCGTTGCCGATTCCTCAGTTCCTAAATGAAGACTTGGCCAATCCTCACATCCAAAAAAGCATTATGTGGCACGTGCATATGTAACATTTTGAGTCAAGAAGTCTATAAGAACTTTGTGACATTACTTGATAGACATAAAACAAGATATAGAAATGACAGACTGTGAGGTGCCATTAAATGGCTCACTGAAGCACGTTTATTGCAATGGCTTTCTCAGGTTGTCCTTTCTTCTGTTGCGTGAGCGATACTTATAGGAACATGTCTGCCTATAGTAGATTTTAAATACACTAGCTAATTTTAAACAAACTAGCTAATAACTGTATAATCTGTGAAACTGTTATAACTTTATAATCTGTGAAAAATGTACATACGACTTTATGAAAGTGATTCCAAAAGTTCTTAACACTCTGCTATGTGTATGAGTTAGGATTAGATTCCCGAGTGTATGAAAATGTGTCTCTGCATGAACATCCCCAAATCTGAGGCTTGCTGTAAATGATTGTCTCAGGAAATGGATTTTTTTCTTTCAAAAATAGACTTCAATATGCAAACTCCCTCTATAACTTTCCATACCTCAATAGTTTAATATTTAACAACATAGGTGCAATTGACATGTTTGTCTTCTGCTATGCACAGAAGAGCTAACAGAAGTTGGATTAAATGACGCAGCTCATCAAGGTGAAGGACTTAGTTTGGAAAGAGATTTAGTCAGCCAGACGACAGCAACACAGGAAAAATCACAGGAGGACCTCCCAACAATAAATAATAGCGTTTCTAAAGAAATATGGTTAGATTTTGAAGACTTCTGTGTATGCTTTCAGTAAGTATGAACTTTTTGTGTGTATTAAATGTGGTGGATATATAAGCCATTAATTTTTAGCTATCATTTAAAGGGATTAAACCAATATTACTCTGGCATTGATATAATAGCAAGAGAAACTGTTAGAAAGAAAGATCGATGAGTTGACTATCCACATAGATCAATAGCCGAAACTCAGGCCAGTTTCAGGCCATCCTCAGAGACTTACTTACTGATTAAGATGAAGACTGTTTATTCACTAAGAGAGATCATTTGTGTCCCTTTAAGACAACTAATTCAATACAGTTGTTATGCTTTTTTTCCCAGCTTTATTGACGTATAATTGGTAAATAAAATTTTAAGAGATTTAAAATGTACATGGTGATGAATTGATATAAATACACATTGTGAAAGACTCTTCCCATTGAGTTAACGCATCCAACACCTCACACATTTACCAATTTGGGGGGACAGGGTGGGAACATTGAAGTTCTACTCTCTTAGCAAATTTCAGTAACACAATCCAGTATTATCAAGTTTAGTCACCCTATGGGATGCCTGCGTGGCTCAGTCGGTTAAGCATCTGACCTGGTTTTGGCTCAGGTCATGATCTCACAGTTTGTGAAATTGAGCCCAGTATCGGGCTCTGTGCAGGCAGTATAGAGCCTGCTTGGGATTCTCTCTCTCCCCTTCTCCGTGTCCCTTCCCCACTTGCGCTGTCTCTGTCTCTCTCAAAATAAAGAAATAGAAGCTTAAGTTTTTTTTTTTTTTTTTTTTTTTTAAGTTTAGTCACCATGTTATACATTAGATCCTTGGACCTTATTCATCTTATAAATGAATGTTTGTATCCATTTACCAACCTCTTCCTATTTTCTACACTCACCCCTGTAATTATTTGATCCTACGATCCTAACGTGTTGTACTAGTCTGTTGCATATGATGGCATTAACCTGTTATAAATAATGTTTTCCAGGAATATATATATTTTTCACAAACCAAGTTCATATTGCCTTAACTTTCAAAAAACAGAATTCAAGGTAAATATATTATTATCTCCTTTCCTTCTCATATGTAAGTTTGTGATTAAATCATGCTAGTGAGAAACACCTTCAAATCTATCAAGCATTTCTAAAATTATGATTATATTAACAAAATCAATTCTTAGAGTCTTTTCCTAATCTCTTATCCAGACAATAAACAAAATTCTGCTACTCATACCTCCAAGTATGAGTCATCTGATTATGTTCAGTCCTGAGCTGTGTTATTATGTGAATTCACATTAAAAGTGCTTGATTTGTGAATAAATGAATCACAAATAAATTCGCTATATTTGATTTAAATTGTTTATTGAAATACATGCTATTCCTACAACAAAAGCACATTTTTACTATCATTTCTGCTGTTTTTGCCCATGGTCTTCCCTCTACCTCGAGTTCATTCTCCATCTTTATTGCCTTCATCAGGCTAATGCTAGAAGTCTTTCAGAGCAGCGTGAATGTCCTTGACCCTGTGAGACCTCCTTCCCTGGCCACAGAGTCTAAGTCAAGTACCCTGACTGCATGCACTCTGTGTAACCTATGCTTACCCTTCTCCATCCCAACTGCCTGATTGTTTTTCTCTGTGGCCCTCCACCTACCTACCCATTTGATGTCAACATCTTAAGGAGAAAGACTCTGTCCTTTTGTTTACTATTATAATATTGGTCCTAGCATGAGGTAGGAACTCAACCAAAAAAATTATTGAATGAATTAATTAACAAATCTCACATGGAGTGGAATTTTGGGAAAAACTATGAAGCATATTCTGGGAAACTAAATTTAACTGAAACTCTTATGTTGCTTGTATGGGGCCGTTCAAGCCCCCTGCAATAATGCCACATCTCCAGGAGCGGTACACACAGTTGGGGGAAGAAAGAAGTCTTGGAGATGGCTTCTCTCATTGCATTTGTACTAGATGAGAATGCCAGCAGAGAAAACCTTTTTTAGCATTTTTCAGGAGGTGCTTTGCAGCTGGTTGTCTGCTCTGAAAGCAAGAATCAAGTCTGTGGTGGTGCCTGTGGGGGAAGGTCATGGGAGAACTGGTCAGCCTAGCTCTGGAGTTTATCTATAAAAATACCCAGAGGAATGCTTTGACTTTGTGAAAATAACATAACTGCTAATTGGGAATAAGTGGCCCCAGAGATGTGAGAATAACATACAGTTTACAGGCACTTCGCTGTGTCTCCATATTCACTGTCGGCAATAATAAAATAAAAGTCATTGATAGGTGCCTACTCTGTTGCTGGCCCTGAACTAGGTTTTTTATTGCATTAGCTCCCCATAGCAAACCCTATGAAAGGACTATTATTATCATCATTTTTCAGGTAAGGAAACTGAGGCAGGTTAAGGCTGAGTAAATTGCCCAAGACCACCGCACTGGTAAGTGGCACAAGCATCATGAGAATAAGGTTTGCCTGATGTGAAGCCTGGGACTTTGTCACGAGTACGCCTCTCTCGCGAAGTACACCGGGTTGGTAGCCTGGAGCCAGACTGCCTGGTTTCGAATCCAGGTTTCATTGGAGTGAGACCCTGACTAAGTTAAGTCCACTTTGCCTCAGTTTTCTTTCCTCTAAAATGATTGCAGTAAGAGCCCATTATCCTAGCATTGGGAAAATAATTGAGAGGATGTATGTAAAACACTTAGAAGAGTGCCTACTAAAGGCAAGTGTAAGCAATGTTGCTGTCACTCTTGTCACTAAAGGCACTTTGGTTACGAGTTTTTGTTATACACCACCCTCCTAGGACACATGTGTATCTGTGCAGTAAAATGGCCAACTGGTTTTACAAACTGGTGGTAAATATAGATTTTTTTCTCCCTTCCCAAGTCCCAGCTGGGCAAAATAAGATGATAGCAGTTCCTACGAGTCCCTTTAGTCCCCCGATTTGTTTTTTACATCAATGATATGAAAAAACAACAGCTTTTTCTTGGAAGGCATTGGAATTCAAACTTAACAGTCATTAGGATGGCATGGGAGGACGGATTGGTTGTGGGCTCAGGCCAGGCATTCCTGATTTTAGTGGCCATAGGTGATTTTAGTGGCTGAGCCTGAGGCCTCTCCCAGCACATTCCATGGATGTCCCATCAGTGCTCAGTGTGTAGGTGGGATAGGTGCTCCCAAGGTGCCCGGTGCTGACACCAGTGCAGAGTTCCTCTGGGTGGCCTCCATGCCCATCCTGTCCCCAAATTCGCAGGCCCTCAAAAATGACAGCAAATGAGCTCTTTGCAGGAACTCTTCCTCTGGCACGCACACTGGGCTGGCAAATCCAAGCTTCTTTCATGATTTTGGATAGTGAATATTTGAAACAACTGTCTTTATCGCCAACATGTTGCAGCTAAAAGGAAACAAACAAAATAGATGTCAAATGCTTACTATTGAAAGATACTGAGGGAAACATCTTTTAAAACCTAGTTACACTGTATCAAGCATTTCCAGAAATGCTTGTCATCCGATTAAGTAACAAGCCTGCAGTTTCTACAGTATCACTAGAGATTTTTCTTTCATATTTTAATTGTTTTTATATTGTAAAATACTATGAAAGCTTTTAATGTATAATAACATTAAGTTAATTTAACACACTTACCATATACCATCAATCAAAATTATGTGGAAGCACCAAGAATTTGAGAGGCAATAAAAGTGCTACAGTCTCAAAGACCAACCTTGGAGTTGGTAAACAGATAGACTTACTTTTGAATTTCAGCTTTGAACTTGCAAGCTCTGTGACGTTTGGAAAGTTACTTACTCTCTTTGTGTTTCAGTTTCTTCATCCATGATTATGGATATTAATAGTGCCCCTATAGGATGGATTGAGATCATGTGCATGTAACCCTTCCGTGGCTGTCCTTTAAGGGAAGTTCTGGTTTTACTCAGTACTCTCTTGCATCGTCAAAGCGAAAATCCAGTCTGGTTCATTAGTGTGCATTGGCTATATTTCTAGAGATCTTGTAAACAAAAGGAAGAAAGGGTTTATATCACATGCCATCCTATAAAATAACCTTGATACATCCCCATTAGACATTTCCATTCTTTGCCACAGTTACTTTGTGTCCTGTCTATTTATCAGAGATCTGTATTTTCTGAGTATTGCCCAGCCTCAAGCCCAGTCTCCTCCATTTGTTATTTCTGAAACAAGCATATCCCTTTTCTTCACTCGTGGAGAAGAGCTTTGACTCTCTCTGATAGGGAGCCAAACTCACACAGGTCCTATAGACCCAGCTTCTATAGACTATTGCCAGCATTTACTCAGTGTGATTTTCTTCCTATCATTAAAGCTGTAAAGTACTTACTGTGGTGTCTAGAGCACAGTAGGTTCTCTATAAATGTTAGGTAGAATTATTAGAAGTGTGAAATATGGCATTAGTTGACTAATATTAAATTCAATGATTTGTCTGATTTCTCGCAGTTCTCAGATGAATGCGTGTCCTACTATCTGTTTGTGGATAGTCTGAAACCCATTGAACTGCTGGTTTGCTTTTCTGCACTGGTACGATGGGGAGAATCTGGAGGTAAGAGGGCTTTAAGAAAGTTATAGTCTTAAATCCCAGCTCACTTTCATTCAGTCCAGGGGAAATACAAGATTTGGGGGCTCTGGATGAAGGAAACTATTTCCTCTCCAGAGTCTGCAAGAGAGTCACCCTCACACCGCCTCCTAGGATGGTCTTCCTCCTCAGACGTCATGGGTTATGCTCACTCTTACCACCTGCTCCTCTCCTTGTTGCGGTCACATGTTCACCTCTTCAGCATGACTAGCCACTCTGTTTTTCTTTCCACCTTTGCATGTCACCATTCTTGGGTCTTTCAAGATCTATTGAAAAACATGCACTCTTCCTTTGATTTGACAATTCTGAAGATCTTTTCCTCCATCCCACCCTGGCCTTTGTTTTCATGATTACACTTTAGAACTTACCTGCCAGTAACTATATCATCTCAAGCATCCCCATTTCAAGCTCTGACTACACACCCTGACTCTCCAGTCCACTTTCTCTAGAACCCTTGCTTCTACAATCCTTTGACTCCACTGGGACTGCCAGCCGTTGACCCTCCCACTTTTCCCTATTCATCTGTCTCCTCGTGTCCTTATTTCTCTCATCCCCCAGTTTCCATGGCCTGTTGTTGTAATTGTAGCCTTGGACATACCTCAGCGTGATTGCTCATCTTAACCCCTCAACTTACTGTCTTGGCAAAATCCCAATACTGGTTGAATTCAGCCAATGAGCTCCGTATCTTACGTGTGGTGCATCAGAGCACTGATGAATGTGCACCGATTGGATGTGACTGGAGAAAAAATAACCCTATCAGCTAGCCCCACTTTCAACTGAGGACCACAGATTTCAAAATGGCCCCCTAAACACTGCCAACGCTTCCCTGGTTCATGCATTCCTCACTCTCCTCCTCCTGGACGACTATCTCAAACCTTCAGATCTTGTAACAGCTGCTCTCATCCTTGTGTATTTTCAGCTGATGACCTTGCTGCTATTTTCACTGGAGAGAGAGAAAAAATCAAGAATGACCCACTTCATCTTTCCCATAATGAGTTCTCCCCAGTTCTAGTCACCTTCCCTCCTGCTCATGGATGGACTGTCCTTGCTTCTGTCTGAAGCCAGCTCTTTGCACATGTGCATATATGCACAAAACATCATTCTTCAATTCTTTGTCCTGTTTGTTAAAGCTAAATCTGTTTATTTCAAAACAGATTAAGAAACAGCATCCCCCCCCCCCATCAATCTCATTACCTATGAGGTTTTTAAAAATATTTATTTATTTACTTTTGAGAGAAAGAGAGAGAGAGCAGAGGAGGGGCAGAGAGAGGGGGAAGGAGAAAATCCCAAGCAGGCCCCACACGGGGCTCAATCTCACAAACTGTGAGATCATGACCTGAGCATAAATCAAGAGTTGGACGCTTAACCAACTGAGCCACCCAGGTGCCCCAACTATGGTTTGTTTTTAATCGTGCCTATAGTTTTATTTTCAAGATAAATTTGGCTAAGCAGATCACACTTTCCATTTTAAGGAAAATATGCATAATTGAAAGTTTTCCTGATTTTGATGAATAAAATTCAAAATACTACCTCCTATCTCAAATGAATAAATGTTTTTACTGGATTACCAAGATCAATCCTACTAATTCTATGTAATCCATGAAAAGCTATGGCTTTTATAGAAAAATAAAAGCCTAAACAGCAAAATCAAAGCATCTCTAATTCAAATTTATAATACCTGACACTATGGAGGTTCAATAAAAATTTGCTGAATGCTGGATATTAAATGTCCTGCCAACTTTGATGGCAGGCCTATGATTTTCTACCCAGGTATACCCAGCGGTTAGAACAGGGTCTAGTGTGTATCAGTGGGCAATAAATACTTGTTGAATATTTCCAAACTTTATTGGTATAAGCTTAGTATATCTATTAAGTAAGAGCTCCTAAGCTACACCATGTCCTAAAACATTGAAATTCTATGTGTGTAGAGGTGTTTCAAGTCATGTTGTGCTCTTATATCCTCAGTTTGAGTATTATTGGGAAATAGGGTAAAAATATAGGGTAATATAAGTTCTGGAGATGTAATATACAGTAGGGTGACTATAGGTAATGATACTATATTATATATTTGAAAGTTGCTAAGAGAGAATCTTAAAGGTTCTCATTACAAGAAAAAAAAACTGTAATTGTGTGGGGTAATGGATGTTAACTAAATTTTCATGGTAACCATTTCACAATATATACATGTATCAAATCATTATGCTGTACATCTAAAACTAATACAATGTTGTGTGTCAAGTTTGTTTCAATTAATTAAATTAAATTAAATTAAATTAAATTAAATTAAATTTTTTAATTTAAGAAGTGTTTTGGCCTTGGCTACCCATGAAGAATGGCTGATATTCTTTATTCATTTTCAGAGGAACACTGAATGCTAAAATTAAATTTTTGTTACTGATTTGCTATTTCTACACACAATTAAAGCTAAGAATCCAAAGTAAAAACATAAGCAATAGGATATTTAGACTTCGCTTGGCCCCTATCTTAGGAGAGCCTCTTAATTTCCCAGATATGTTTCCCCCACCCTTTAAAATTGTACCTAGAGGGATATTGTGATTTCTGCCACAGATAATAAGGTAATCAAAGTGATGGGGATGATTCTGAGGAGGGAAATGGGACAGAGAGGAAAACCTGAATCCCACTTCATATTATTTCCAGTAATTATCTCCCCAGAGTAATTTCTTTGGGTTTTATGAATATTTTCAGAACACCTCTAATTCCTGATATTGTTAGTATCATTACTAGGGTCGTGAAGTGAAGGCCAGCTATACTCTCACAGTCAAATTTTCATATTTTTCCCTTCCCTAGCTTTAACAAAAGACAGCCCCCACGTAGGGCCTGGACTGCTTACAGCGGAATCCCTTTCCTGGAAATCTCTGAAGCCACGAGATCTTGTTTTGAAGATTCATACGTATGCCACCAAGGCTGCGGTGGTCCGGCTGCCTGTTGGGTATGTAGTAACTTCATTTTTCCCACAGAAGAACTTTTTGAAGCCTTGTAAGCTACTGGCTACCTGATAATTAAACAATATGGGATATAGGATATGGTTTCTGAAAGTGATTCGTATGAAACAGATCTATCATTATGATTCTTGCGAAAAATAACTCCACGAGCAAATATATATTAAAGAAATGCTGTTCACTGAATCTCCATTTGGAAGACCCATAATTGTCACAGATTAACAATTTCTTTAGTAAAGAATAGGGTTTAAATCAGCATTTCTTAAAATCAATGCATCAAACAATCCTTTTTATTTTCTTCAGAATCTTACATGCCTTGGCAAGAACCATGATTTTATTTAAAAACAGACTTTTGGGGCGCCTGGGTGGCGCAGTCGGTTAAGCGTCCGACTTCAGCCAGGTCACGATCTCGCGGTCCGGTCCGTGAGTTCGAGCCCCACGTCGGGCTCTGGGCTGATGGCTCAGAGCCTGGAGCCTGTTTCCGATTCTGTGTCTCCCTCTCTCTCTGCCCCTCCCCTGTTCATGCTTTGTCTCTCTCTGTCCCAAAAATAAAAATAAAACATTGAAAAAAAAATTAAAAAAAAACAGACTTTTTTCCCTACCAGTCTATAGTTTTACCTTGTGTTTAATATTACCTATAGCTTTATTTTTAATTAAAATAAATTTGGCTCGGCAGATTATATTTTCCATTTTAAATAAAATATGCATAATCAAAAAGTTTTCTTGATTTTGATGAATAAAATTCAAAATATTGCCTCATATTTCAGACGAAATGAATATTTGTACTGTATTTCCTAAGATCAATCATGTTAATTCTATGTGATCAATGAAAAGTGATGGCCCTTATGAAAAAAAGCAAAGCCTAAACAGCAAAATCAAATGCTAAAATAATGTATGGCAAGCATCCAATCTTCCCAGGAAATAATAAATTTTAAAACTTCAATATTTCTCACATCTTACCCTGAAAACCCTGGCATAGAGAGGTTCTCCCAAAAGTCATTACTCTGAGTGCTAATCCATTAAGACAACCAAGAACAGGAAATTAATAAAGAACCTCCTTATATATATCTGGGTGCTTCCCTGCAGGGCCTAACCTATCAACATGTATGTTTTGAACACGCTCTAAGTGCTCGACAATGGGGGGAATGAGTGTCCCTGCTCTCAGTGACACCGCAACCCTGGTAGGAAAGACACAAACAACACACATAAAATTATGCATCTGTGGGAAAGTGACTATGAAATCAACAAAGCCCTATACCACTGTGAATTATTCTTGTTAGTGAAAAATCAGGAGTCACTTGCACTGGGACTGCAGCGTATGGGAGATTCCTCCAGTGTGTGCAAGTTCCTCATTTAGCGTAACTATGTTTTATGTGACTAATGAAACATAGATTCCATGATCTCTGATGATTCTTTCAGAGTGAATATCCAAAAGTCTTTATCCCACCAGAGTTAAAGAATTCTACTCTCAGTAATGTGTGACTTCATTTGAGCACAAGCTGTCATCAAACAACCAGCAGAGTCCAGGACTACAACGGGAACCCCTGGGTCCTCATATATTGTCTATTCTCTTTAGGAGACATATGCTTCTCTTCACCGCATACTCCCCCGTGGGGCATTCCATACACATCTGCAGCATGGTGACTTTTGTCACTGGGGACGAAGATGTCGTGCTACCCAACTTTGAGCCGGTAAACTTTAAGCAGTTGTGATTTTTTTGGTGCCTTATTTTCAAAGATTTTGAGCTAAATCATAGGCCTATTTTTTGTAATTCAACTTACCCATGTTTTACCTTTTAAAACTGTTAAGTATATTCTGCAAGAAATTCTCTAAAATGACACGTACAATAAATAGCCTACACTCTGCAGGAATGCAAAATAATTTTAGTTTTTCTCCGACAACTGCATTCACTTCTGCTCTGTGGAATCCCCTTTCACCTCTGTTAACATCTCAGGTAGATCCCGTAGCATACTGGTCCTTCGGAATGTATAGAGGATCAGTACAGTCCTTTCCATTACAGCTTGAAATTCTGGTATCATTGACTCTTTTACCCCTTCCTCAGCCTAAGAGATTTGGAGCATTTGTCTCTGGGATTCAGGGTAAGAGGATCCATGGAAAGTCCTGTCACTCTTGTTCATCTCCTCTTTTCTTGGCCTCTTCTTAGTTTCTCTTACACCGCTGTTCTGACGGTGTCTGAAAGAAGAAACGAGGTAAATGCAACCGGCCACTCCCCTGAGGTCCTGTCTCAGTTTTAGATGTCCTCTAAAAGGCATCCCATTTAGATATGTGGGCCTCTGCTTTGGGGGGACCAATTTGCATGGGGCATTCTCACTGCATAATTCAGTTTTACACCCTCCCCCCATCCCATCTCCATGTAGCACAGCCTCTTATTAGGGAGGCGAGATCCTCTCAGCCAGTCGATAACTCTCTTGGCCAAGGTAGCATCAAGATGATTCAGAAGCAGCTCTTTTGTGCTAATGTTGCTGTGGCCCAGACAGGTTCAGTCACGGATTCTTGCCTCTCTAGGCAGAGATTTTGCAGGATTCCCCTGACGGCCTCCTCTCTGCTGTGCTGTCTCTCTCCAGTCCTCTCCCTCCTGTGCAGTAGAAGAAAGATCAGCAAGCCCACCTTATAAGTACATGTCTCTTATTCCCTTAATTATGTTTATCCTGCTTTTTAAAATTATTTTTTTCATCTTTGTTTTCTTTTCTTAAAAAAACAATTCTGCTTTAGGTAGTATGGATTATCCAGTCTGGTTTTTTTTTTTTTTTTTTTTTTTTTTTTTTTTTTTTTTTTTTTTTTTTTTTTTTCTTTAGGTGACTGAACTTCGTAGGTGTCTACTTATTTTGATCTGTGAAGTCATCTTTCCCTGGGGTTATAAATTCCTCCATCTTGTAAAACCTACCGGGGCTTAAAGTCAGGCCCTATTATTCTTCAGTTTGAATGAGGAAGCAAGAAGCGATAGACCAGTCCAAGAGCAGAAAGATTCAAGCTGCTCAGAGCCGTATGTGATCACTCCCAGTGCTGCCTCTTGACCAGACAACTTTCCTGGTCCTGGCTTCACCTGAGGGGGAAATACCATTGAGAAGAGGCTTTCTGGAGGCTTTGGGAGGTTGGGGAGAAGGTAGTAGGATAGTAAATGCGTTAAGGGGGCGAGTCGGTTGTGTCTGTCTTCATCAGTTCGCCCCAAGCAGCGAATTGGTACTGTCCAGGTATAGCTGCGGGGCCATTCCTCAAAACTTCTGCAGGGAACCAAGGGGCATGATGGCAGCATGGTGCTCCCTAGGAAAGGGGGCAAAAGTAGACCTCACAAGTTTTTGTTCCCACTTCACCCCCTCCGTGCTGTCTCAAAGCACCCTCTACTCTGGGCAGCTCCTCCCCTACCCACCAACTACCCACCACATACCAATCAAGATAATCTGCAAACGCCTTAGGTTTCTCTTTCTCTCTCTCTCTCTACCCCCCATTCCCCACTCTTTGGTTTTGACCTACAGTTTTGCAATTTGACATCCAATTCCTTTTTTTTTTTTTCTTCACAAGCTTTATTGAGGCAAAACAGTCCAGCAAAATTGTAAGTTATATAAACTCTACATGCTGGTGATTTTGTATACATAAATATTGTGAAAGGATCCCCATCATCTAGTTAATTAACACAACCATCACCTCACCTCACGTACTTATCTTTTTTTTTTTTTTGTGACAACATTCAAGTTCTATTAACAAATATCAATTCTGCAATATAGTGCTATCAACTGTAGTCACTATGTTTTACATTTAGATAGATCTTCAGTCCTTGTTCATATTATAGTTGAAGGTGTGTACCCTTTTGCTAATCTCTCCCAGTTTACCCCCTTATCTTTTTAATCTTCATCACTATCTCCCTGAACTCTTCTCTGCCCATTGGTTCTCCAATCCCACACAATTTTGTCGAACTAATTCCTAGACACCCTTCAGAACTAAATATGGGTATTAATACCATGGAGAAATGTCCCCTGGCTCCCAATGTGAGGTAGGTGTTATTCCTATGTGTTCCCACTACAGCAGGAATCATATCCCTTGTTTTATATCTTTGAGATCACAGCCCCTAGCAAAATGCCTTGAGCAAGTAAGCCCTTCACAACTAACTGTTTAATCAACCATAGAGAAGAGGTTTAATATATTAACAGAAACTAAATTTTTGTAAGCTTAATTACACTTAAGTAAAAAAACAAAAACAAAACAAAACAAAAAAGTGAGGCTGGCTGCTTTGCTTTCCTTTCACAGGAGAGCTACCGATTCACAGAGCAGTCTCTAACAATTTTGAAAGCTGTTGGAAATGTGATTGCTAGTTTCAAAGATAAGGCTAAACTTCCTGTGGCTCTGAAGGATTTACAAACAGCTCACTACCCTATTCCCCTCCACAATAAAGAACTAACAGCACAACACTTCAGGGTAAGTATGTTCAAGTTATGATGTTCCTAGAAGGATACTTTCTGTTTGAAAAAGATATATCTTATATGAGGTGATCCTCCAAATTTAGCCTTTAAAAAGATTTACATGTATTTCAAAGAGGAAGAGAGAGAACTTGCAAGTTTTTTAAAGTGGTGTCTAAGAAAAAGGGAGGGAAAGAGTCTCTTCCTTTATTTTCCATAGAGAGAATTAAGCCTGCTTTTGTTATTTGTATTTGCTCTTATGGTACCTTGTATTCTATCTGGGCAACTCTACTTGGGACACAACACTCCCAATGGAGAACTGCTCACCTGGGGCATGGGTAACCTACAAGACATACCTGCTGTGATTTACTCTTGAACCAGTATGATTGCCTCCCTTCAGTGAACTCTGTCATCCACTCTTGAAGGCGATGGCTCTAAATGGCTTAAAGTGGTATCCACCAGCTCTAAAAATAAGCCAATGATTAAATCATCATATGACAAGAAACCTATGGTCCCCACTGCTACAGTCAGCCCTAAGGCTGTGGTTGGTATGCAACATCTCTCTCCTCTACCACTCATTCTATATTTCCCAATATTCCAGCCAAAGCCTCAGCTGTTCTAGTTGCCTGGTAGGTAACCTAGACCTTCAATCCTGGTGGGCACAGGACCTTGATTGCCTTACTCTTTTCAGGCTGTGACTAATCATTCACTGTGGAAGCACCAAGATGTATCACGATGGGGATGCCTGGGTGGCTCAGTCAGTTAAAGCAGCCAACTTCGGCCCAGGTCATGATCTGGCAGTTTGTGAGTTCGAGCCCCAGGTCAGGTTCTGTGCTGACAGCTCAGAGCCTGGAGCCTGCTTCAGATTCTGTGTCTCCCTCTCTCTCTGCCCCTCCCCAGCTTGCACTCCATCTCTCAAAAATGAGTACACATTAAAAAATTTAAAAAAAAAGTATCAAGACAAATTCAGACATAATTCTTCCTGTCCTCATTATGCAGCAGAAACCCTAGTACTTCATGACAATCAGGGTAAATTCTTCCTCCACCCCATTATATTAATTCCTTTTCCCCTATTTGTATATCAGGATGAGGAGCACAAAGCAAGAAAGCGTGTATCATAATTTAGGTTTATTGCAAATCATACCATGTTCCCTGATGGAAACATTCCCTGCCATCCATCCCTAGGAATTAAGTTCTCCAATTTAGCAAACTACCTGTTGGGACAGAGAACATTAATAATTGCAAATGGGCCACTGGAAATAATGGTGAGAGAGGCCAATCCTACTTCCAATTTTGAATCCCAGGCCTGCATATGTTAGCTTTTACAGATATAGCACTATGTTAGTCTTTGGTCCTGCTCATCTATACCGTGCCCTGGAGGATACTGTGTCAGTTCTGCAAGGTATCATCTCCAGGCTGGCTTCTTAGCTGAGGCTTTTATATGCCATTCCACTTTACCAGGAATCTTATCCACTCTTCCTATGGTATATATTAGGGCATTGAGTCCCAGACATTTCTCAGTTATTAACTCTTCTCTGTAAAATGTGACCCTTGGTCCAAGGGGATGTTAGGCTGGATCCAATGCTTGTAAATCAGATTTTCTGTAATTTCCCTTGGTTAATGGTGCTGACAGAGGCACCAAGGAAAGACAAAGCAAACTCATCATTGAAGTAGGTGTCAATTCTAGTAAGGACAATCACTACCCTTGACAGAAGCCCACTGGAATAAACTTGCCACCAAGTGGCTGACTGGAATCCCCAGAGGATGATATCACATTAAAGTTTTTGCTACCAGCAGGTTAGACAGCTAAGCGTGGGTGAAAAAGAGCTCAAACTATTGGCACCATTCATAGTTCCTGTCCCTGCCATCAATATTACTCATTCATGAGCCTGTTGTTGCTAGGTCAGATCTGATATGTAAGGAAACTTTGTGCATGCATCATTTACACATCTTGATAATGAAACATTTTTATATTTTAAAAAACGTTTCTTTTTTTTTCTTTTTAATGTTTATTTATTTTTGAGAGAGAGAGACAGAGCATGAGTGGAGGAGGGGCAGAGAGAGAGGGAGACACAGAATCCGAAGCAGGCTCCAGGCTCTGAGCTGTCAGCACAGAGCCTGACATGGGGCTTGAACTCATGAACCATGAGATCGTGATATTACATAGTTAATGTGACATTGTTTTCAAAGAGCCATGTCCCATAAATCAATAGATTCCAAATTTGTCTACCATAAACAATTCCAGATAGATCAGGTGCAGCATTCTGTAAGTGTCCCATAGATAAGGACTCTCTCACTAGAAAATAATATCCGTGTATTACTTGAGAGGTCTTTCATTAGCATGTTGATGACAGAAATGGGCCAGGTCATCTGTATTTCCATGGGATACTCACATCTCCTACAGTTCCTTCTCTTTCTTTAGATCCCTATCAAAGTTTATGGCCTTCTAAGCCCTCAGTACATGCAATGGGATAATATTCCCCAAAGCAGAATGTTCTAGCACCAACTCCAGAGAGGACCATCAAGTACTGGCCTCTTTCTTCGTTGCAGTTTCTTATCCTTTGCCTTACTGGGGATGTCTCAGGAAGTCTCATCCTCTGGATCCCTAAAATCTCCACTGATGTAGTGGATCCATGAATTTGTGCAGTGTTTATTCCCCACTGTCTAGCATGCCTGTGTCTTAATCAGGAAGTCACAATAATGGCCCCTTTCTGCCCACAGGTAGCACAGAGTAATATCCTGTAGAACTCCCAACATGATCAGAGACTCTGCTCGCTCAAACGTAACAGAGAGGAGGAGTATTAGCATAACTGTGTATTTTTCTTATTTTTACATTACATGTTGAAATATTTAGGACATTTTATTAGCGTATCACAGAAAACACATCTAACTCATTTAAGTCATAACAAGTAGTGGGATGTGTTAATTTATGAAAAAGATACAGGGAAATCTTCTTGATAGGAGTGACTCAGTGAGGAACTTCAAAGAGGGGATAGACAGCCCTTACAACTTACCTTCTTCATTTTGTTTTCTCTTATCCACATGGTGTCTCTAGCCCTAAGTGCATATCCTGGAAAAACTGGCTCCTGATTTATGTCACTTTTCCATATGAGGCCAGTTTAGAATGTCTTCATCCTGATTTCCAGTTAGTCAGCCAGAGTAACACTGATTTGCTTAGCTTGGGTTAGATGGTTGCCTGCAGGCTTGCCCACCATTGTCAGCTGATGGGGCAGTTACAAACACAGATTGTAACATTAGGTCCCTGTCTCTCAATATATGGGGAGGGGTGAGGCGTGGTCAGAAAATATAGACGAAGCAGGAAGTACAATAGTCGTATGCCTTTGAACGGCACTGTGTTTCACCAATTCAACGATGTACATTTCTTTTCACACTTCAACATCTGGAGGAAATCACAGTGTGTCTTATAATTGGTGGTTCCTTACAATCACTGCTGGCCAGGTGGCTTTCAGAATTCTCTGCATACACATGGACTTGTTCATAAGAGTTCATATTGTCACCACTTCGGAAGAAATGTGTGTATTGTTTGACAAAAGCCTGATCCTTGGGGGAAGAGAATTAAATGATATTATTGAGCCTCTCAAAGAAACATGAAAGGAGAAAGATTTTCTCCACCCCAGACTGAGCCGCCCCCCCCCCCCCCCCAGGGCACAGGGAAAGAGAGAGAGGGAGGGGAGTACCTCAATAAAAGCCACCTTAAACAGAGCCCCAGGTGTATTATATAATCCACCAAGCACATTACTCCCTGCGGACAAATAAATAGCTAAAAGTAAGCCAGCAACAATCTGCTGGGGCTTGCTTATTATTCTTAGTGGCATGACTGGATAAATGGAATCCCTCAGTATATCAAGATAAAAACAACGAAAAATACAAAATCATGTAGGAAAACACGAATGTTAAGTACTTTCAAAAAGTGATTTACAAGAGTTTGAATATGAATGTCTTCAGAATACTTAACCAACTTATGTAGATTATTTTGTTTTTTCATGTATGTTTAAGTGTGATATATGATGAAAAAGCTCTGTGTAAGTAAATCTAAAAAAGCCTTTTCAATAAGAAGTAAATACTCTTAGATGGACATAAGAAAGTGATAAAAACTCTAAACAACATATTTTCTTCTTTGGTAGCACATGAAACCATAGTGTGCCTTATAGCAAATGGTGTTATAGAACCAATGAAATATTGTATTTAACTTGGTGAAAAACAAGGGCCATATTTTTCATCTTACACTCTATCTCTTCAACCTGTTATATTTTGATTGAGCATACCTTATAAACATTGTTGTAGCGATTAAGTTTTATGAAATTAGAAACAGTCAGATGAGGGACACCTGGCTGGCTCAGTCAGTGGAGCATGTGACTCTTGATCTCAGGGTAAGGGTTCAAGCTCCACTTTGGGTATAGAGATTACTTTAAAAAAATTTTAAGAAAATGAAATAGATGATACATAATTTTGAGCTCTTACTGAGTGAATGACATTTGGAAGTCTTCTGTTATATTGTGCTTTTGAAAAAATATGTATTTTTTATTTTTAGAGTATCTAAAGTTCTTTAGAGCCTCTCTGGCTAGGTCATAGCATTTCTTGGCTTAACAAAAATGTACTAATGTATTTTATCTTTTTCAGGTTTTTCATATTTCTTTATGGCGCTTAATGAAAAAAACTCAACTAACAAAACCTCCTCCCAATTTTAAATTTGCCTTTCGTGCTTTGGTTCTGGATTTAGAGTTACTTGATTCCTCCATGGAAGAGGCTTCTTTAGGTACTGAATAATTTTAGATATTTGTTTGGCAAAAGAATTTCTAGCCTTATATAAGATAAATGATTTGAGAAAAGCACCAAGTTTTTGTGACGTGGGTAGACTGTCTATACTGACAGGCAGAGAATTTAAGCCGTGCTCTGGGAAGCCCATGGGCTCCAAGGATCTGCCATGTGTCCCCAAGCTCACAGCCTCAACCCTCCTTTCCTGGCTCCCCCCATGCAATTTTAACACTTCCTTTAAATTTTGAAAGAAACCTCTCACTACTTCCACAGAAGAATGAACAGTGAGTGGCTCACTTAGGTGTCAGTATTTAGTGTTTTTCTTCTCCAGGAAGTTTACATTCTAAGAAAGGACAATGTGCAGAGCACAGTATTAAATATGAAGACAAACTTCTCATTGTGGCACTTTCTATGCCAGGGGACTTTAGCAATTAAAGGCACGGAAAATTTGGGATGGGATTAAATCTAACCCTCAGTCCAGAGTTTGTTTTTCTCTTGACCAGCGGAATGGGTGGACGTGAAATATTCTGTACCCATAAGTGATAAAGAATATTCTCCTGAGGAAGTAGCAGCAGCGATTAAAATTCAAGCCATGTGGAGAGGGACTTATGTCAGATTACTTATGAAAGCTAGAACACCAGGTATAGTTTTTCTATCACTCATAAAATGAACTTGTGTATGCAAGAATGGATATTTGTGTGTTAATGAAAAGCATTTTGGAGTTCTCCTTCTTTATGACTTGGCTAATTCTTTTTAATTTTGTAAATACTGAAATACCTTGAGATCAGAATGCATGTCAGCTCATTCACTCTCGTGTTTCCAGAATTTGGCACCACGGCTGGCAGAGTAAGCACACCACAAATACGTGCTCAAAGAATGGATGAGTGCATGAATGATCAGCTATGCTTTCCCAGTCCGTTATGAGCTCTTTAAAACAATTGTTTCTCTGTACATCTCCAATGCCTAGTAGAATGCTACAGCAGTCAGCTTCAACTAAGTCATGGATGTGTTTACATTTGCAGACCATTTTTCAAAGAAATAAATGAATGAATGAGTAAATGAATGAATTGGATGAAATAAGCTTTCCTGTATCCATGTGACATATACTTAGAAAGCACAGAATGCATTTGAACTGTATTCTATTGAATCAAATTATTTACGTATATATAATGAACTATTTTTGTGAAAACATTTATTTTATTTTAACTTTTTATCAGCTTAAAATACAGCACTGCAGAGGTAAAAATCATATTTAACCATTTTTTTCTGCAATTTTTGTTGACACTTCCATGAGAAAAGTCTTATGCCCAATAGAATTAATTCTTTGAATATATTGAAACATTTTGTTATAAAGTGTCTCTATTTGAAGTATTTAATGAGAATGATCAAAATGTTCACATCAGCAGTGAAAACTGCAGCTACACAAATAAACAAATAAACCACATTGTAGGGGCACCTGGGTGACTCAGTTGGTTAAGCGTCCAACTTTGGCTCAGGTCATGATCTCACAGTTTGTGGGTTCGAGCCCCATATGGGGCTCTATGCTGACAGTGTGGAGACAGTGCTGAGATTGTTTCGGATTCTCTGTCTCCCTCTCTCTCTCTCTGCCCCTTCCCTGCTCATGTGTGCAAACAGGCATAAATAAATAAAGAAACATTAAAAAAAAAAAAAACTACATTGTGTAGTTGTGTGATGAAAAAATATACTTGAAAAAATATACTGTTGCTTGGTTTTGGTATTATTCTATTAGAGAAAGTAAAGATAAAAGTATCAAATTAAACATATAGTAAAATATACATTTTGTTGTCCACATATGCTGTAAAAATTACATTCAAACAATGATTTTCTTTCTCTTTTTAGAGACAGAAACTTGGGCAATTTAATGTTTTAATCATATTTGCATTGCTTTCACTCAGTGGATATTTATTGAATGACTTGGGCACACAGCACTGTTCTAAATTCTGACCTTATTCAAGTCAGTTAAACTGGCAGAGTTTCTGCTCTGATGAATATTGTGTTCTGGTTGGGGTAGGCATACAATAGGAAAGTAACTACATTAAGACATCAATTTCAGATACTGTTAAGTACTATGAAGAAATTAGGATAATTTAGGGAAAAAGTCAGGTTGTGGCATGTTAAATTTGAGCCATTTACTATGGATTTCCATTTTTCTTGCCAAATCACCTACTTCTAAACCAATGTGGGTTATGGGATGGAGCTTTAGTGGGATCCCATTATCCACTGTTTATTTATTTATTTTTAGGAAAATGGTTGAATTATTTTTTTCTGACATAAGAGCTTTCATAAGGAACTCTTGGTGTGATAAAAGATCTCCTGATATAAAACTCTTTGATGAGAATCTTCAATTAGATCAAAGAACACTTCATGATTTTTACCCTAAAGATGAAGTGAAACAGCATAAAACAGTGAGCAGAACTGTCGGTGAGGAAGTTTATAGCTTTATATTTTAAACATGATTTTGCTGCTAATAAATCCTATGGCTTTGGACAACACCTTATGAATTTCAACTTCTTTGTTGGCAAAAGGAGGGTTTTGAACAGGATGATCTTTCAGGCATCTTACAGCTTTTATTTTTTAATTATTTTAATTTTTAATTATTTTTAGACACAAAGGAAAATACCAGCGTTGCAGATATGCTTCAGAGAGTTTGGGCTATATTGGAGCTGAATATAGAACAGTATGCAATTTCTCTCTTAAGGTAAAGCAGTAAATGGATTTTCTTATTACAGAATCTTCGTGTCCTGCAAATTCCTATTCAAATGCGACCATGTTCAGTGAGTTTCCCTAATCACACACCACTGCTTCCAAACTTCCACGATATTTTGTCTGAAACATTTCTATGCTACTTACTATTTTTGGTTTGTATCAATTATTCTTGACTAAAATTCTAGGCAGAAAGCCTCTGCTCTCTTGAGCAAAGTTTCTTCAAGTCTTGTGGTGTTGAGATGACCAAGATCAGAGTTGCTGGGGGAGGGGATTCCAGAAAACAATTACAATTGTCATTTCAGATGTCTGGAGGGCAACGCTCTAAAAACACACGTAAACCAGAAGTAGACTGAGCCTTAGCTAAACTGTACTATGGCCACAAACTATATTTGAGAGACAAGATAATCTGAACAGAACTAAGAGAAATGATAAATTATATATATATGTATATATATATACAATATATATACAATATATACACAATATATACATGTATATATATATGTATATATGTATGTATGTATGTATGTATATATATATGTATATATTGTATATATATACATGTATATATATGTGTATATATATATATAC